AATGGGATCAAAAACAGGGTGGGGGGGATTATGGTGATGGCACATGGGTGACTTGGTGATGGGAAACCTGCGGGGATTACAATTGAGATGGAAAAAAGAATGTACAAAATGATGTAAAAATAAACTGTTGTAAAATTTAAAAAAAAAATGATGTTGATAAGCATAGACTTTTTAAATGAAAAATTTTAAAAAAATTTCCTTAATTTATAATTTATGAGTATTCTTGTTTCATCTCATTTTAGTTGGTCTCTCTTTAAGGGCCTGCCATCCCCTTTCCTTGCCCACCTTGGTCGCCAGGCTCGTTTGTGTACATTTCTGAACTGTGTGCTGGTGCATGAAAGCTTGCCTTAGATTTCCATCTGTGCAGGAATTCTGAAAAGACAGTGTTCTGCAAAAAAAAATTTTTTTAAGATTTATTTATTTGTACAGAACTGGGGTACAGGCCAGAGATGCGGAGGGTGAGAGGATTCACCAGGAACAGAGCGGGGTACAGAACAGGCAGATCGACGAAGTACACTGCGGAGGGGAGCAGCTGGCGGACCAGGAGAGGTCTGCCACGCCATGTGGATCTCCTCCGGGGCAGACGGGGATTGAACTCATGAGGAAGTGGCTTAAGCTTCTTAGTGCAGTGTTTTAACCTGCTGTGCCACCAGGGAGGGCCCTCTGCAAAAATATTTTAAAGTGAAGTCCAATTATATCCTGAGGAGCTCTTAATTTTACTTATAATTGTGATGAAATACACATGAGACAAACTTTACATCTTGAACCTCCTCAAAGTTCAGCATTGACTAGTTAGGCTGAGCCACAGTAAAATGAGCTTATCTCCAGCACCCCCTTACCTTGCAGAGTGAAACCTCTGCACTGTCTAGGTGACTCTTAATTTTGACAGAGACTTCACAAACAAAGCATTCCTTCTTACTGGTGATAGTAAATTTACTTTTCTCTTTTTCCCCCACCCCATTTTTATTGAGGGATGTAATTGTATGTTTAATTTTGACAGATATAATTGGATATATTTGAAGTGTACATTGCAGTGATCTTTGGGATGAGATGCCAAAAGCACAGGCAACAAAGGCTGAGATGATGGGGAGATTACGTCAGATGAAAAAGATTCTTACAGCAAAGGAAATAAATTAAAAATGGGCAAATGGAAGAAAATCATATGTCTGATAATTATCACCTAATATTAATATAAAATTAATATCTGAAATAAGGATTTTGTACAACAAAGCAAACACACCGACAAATAATTTTATTAAAAAATAAGCTTGTTTTTTCCCAAAGACATAAAAAGTGTCAATAGGTACATGAAAAGGTGTTCTATTGGGCTCTTCCCGGTGGTACAATGGGTTAGGACGCAGCACTGCAAGCTAGCTATAGCCACTTCATTGTGAGTTTGATCCCCTGCCCCTGAGGTGAACCACATGGCATGGCAGACCTGACCCACCCGCTGCTCGCCTCAGGAGTGTACTTTGTCGATTTGTCAGTTCTGCTCCCTACTCTCTCTGATGAATCCTCTCAACACCCCTGCACCTCTGGCCTGTACCCCAGTTCTATATGCATAAATAAAAATCTTTAAATAAAAAAAGAAAAACATTTTTAAAAAGGTGCTCTGTCAGGGAAGTTGATATCTTAAGTTTTTACTTAAGTTTTAGTGATTCCTTAATGTATACTGTCCAATTAGAATACATGAATTATTATGCTTTGGTAAATTTCGAATAAGTAAAGGATATGCTTGCATAGGTGGCATTTTTTTCTTTATAAGCAGGTTCTGGTAAGATTTGATTAGGGCAATGAAAATATCTGAAATTAAGTACATTTGGATTTTGGGGCAACAATATTTATAAATGCTTTGTAAAGTCCTTATCTTTAACATAAGGGTTTAGACTGGAAAAGGTCCAGCAGGGATAATTGTTCTTTATTTTGTTTGTTTCCTTCATCTATAAATAGTTTCTATTATAAACTATTAATTATTCATTGACACATGGGAGCAACTTTAAGGAAACATAAAAATTTGATTCTCAGAGTAGCTTCCCCTTTACTTCTTTCTAATGTTCATCTCCCTATAGTTTTATTTTTCAATATTTTACAGTTATTTTTATGTTACCCTCTAAAATGTCTAGTAATGTTTCTGTTGAGGATAGTTTTCCTTTTTCATTGATTACATTTTGAATGTTCTTGTGGCCAGTGTTAACTCACACATCCTTCTGATAAGGAGTCATTCTTGTTTTGGTGAATATTTTTTCTTATGGTCCTTGTATAGCCCAGGCTATTTGTAGCAACCTCCTATAGCTATTACAGGACTCTTGAGAATGACTTTTATCATTGATGCTTTATCAATTTTGTGTTTTATGCTATTTTCCTTTTAGCGCGTTATTTTAAAGTATTGCATACATATTGTGGAAGAAGTGCAAATAGAAATGAAAATTGCATTTTGAAGTTTTACATCTTGTGTAAATCTTTCATGGTATTTCCTGGCCACTGCTTTCCTTCTGTACCAGTAGCCTAATAGTCCAAATAGAACCCAGCATTAGGTGTTCCTTTTTTTGTTACTATAACTAATAGAAGTTTGAAGTATTAATGAGGTGTTCAAGATCCAATGTCAAAATTTCTAAGAAACGTAAAATCCATATTTTATGAAGTCTTTATTTTTAAAATGTCTTATAGTTGTAAGAGTATTTGTGTGTGTGTATGTGCATGTGCGTGCAATCTTTACTTAAAATATCTGTTAAGTAACATCAGGAGTATTCCTCTGGACAAGAAAAAAAAGGAGTGTCCCTACAGAAACTTAGGAACTCTCTCAGAACTTTTGTAGCACACAAGTTTACACTAACTGAAATGTGACTTTGCTTAGAGAGTGGAGCCCCATGTTCCTCTGCAAAGGAGAGGAATTGAGGTGGGCGGGGAATGTGCTGTCTGACTCTGGCTTCAGCTGCCACCAGGCAAGATTTGAGATGGTCACTGATTCTCGGGCCGTTTGAAGACAGCACCGGAGTTGCATGTGTCTATTTGACGACAACCCAGACGGAGGTGCCTTAAGTCAGTGCTGCTCAAATTCCAGACTGGTCAAACCCCACAGCAAAAAAGTATCAGCTTAAGAATCAGGGTCTTTCAGAAGTCATCCTGTCCTTGGTGAAGAGAGAGGGACCCAGAAGCCCACCTCCCACATGGTCCAGAACGCTGAGTGTTTCCTTTGCTCAGCGGCAGCAGCAGCATTCTTGCCTGCCCCACTGGGTGCCATGCAGCCCCTTTGGGCTCTGTGAAGCCTCTGATGGCACACTGTGTCCTGGAAAAGTATTTTTAAGTATGGCCCAAACCCAGCAAAACTTCATTATTTAAAAGGTTTAAAAAAAAAAAAAAAGTAAATTAAAATTGTCTGCTTGGCAGAAAACCCAAGCAAAGCAAAGCAGCAAAATATTACACTATGACATTTGTCTAAACATAAATGAAGTGGGGGAAATAGTGAAGCCTCTTTAACAAATGAAGAGAGTCTTTACATTAACTATTAAAATGCCAGGGATTCATGAAACTTCTGGGAAAGAGTATGTACAGTGCACAGAAGAAATCTTTTACAAAGGTGTTCTGTCAGGCTTGGTAATACAGATGCAAATTAAGAGTTCCCCAGTATATTAGTTTTCTACCTAGTTGGCTAGCAAATACAAAAGCTAATAATGTACTTTGACTAGAAATGGGGAGTCATTGGCTATCACATGTTTGGTGGGATGATACATTTGTATAAATTCTTCGGAGGTATATTTGAAAATGTTTTTGGAAATGTAAATGCACTATTCTGACCTAGAGCTGTAATGTTTAGATAGTTATTGTAAGTGCATAAATGAGTGTTGTTGGAAAGGAAGGTGTGTTCAAGCTGTTCATTCCAGGTAGCTCTTTTTAGTTCAGGCATCTTTACAGACCCACTTAAATGTAGGATGTATCTGTGGTGAGGGAATAGAAGCTGGGAATGGTCTTGCCTCTTGGGAAGTCACTGAAGAAGGCATGAAAGCCATCTTTTTAACTGAGTATCCTTCACCCAAATACATGTGTATGGATGACCTGCTAAAATGAATAACCAGAAGAATACCATTGATCTAAGACACCTGTAAGTTACGTGTGAAACACACCACTAGTGAACAGAGAGTATTTGTGTGCCCCCCCCATGAGTTGTTAGTGAATCATTGTTGGGGTGCACTGTTCACATCAAACTTTTGTCTCAATATGAAGTTTTCCTTCATCTACCCTCCTCACTTTACACTAGTGAGGATAGGTACCCTATTACATGGTCATTCATTCATATTCTTTCTAAGTTCTTGCTGCATTTATGATTAAATAATTACCATTTTCCACTAGTTGCTTAATGTTTTTCTCCTTGGGATAGAGTTAGACGGGGGGAGGGGAGGAGGAAAACAGGGTGGTAGTCCCCTGTCTCTTTCACATTGGTGTCTCCACGTGTGCACTGGGATGCCTTGTGTGTTGTCAGCACTCGGAGCATATTTGGAAATGTGGAGAATAGTTCTGAAATTCAGAACACAGAGAAGGAAACGATGCCAAACATGACCCTTCTTACCCATGGTGTAAACTATATTTTTCAGCTGCAAGATGGCTGTATTACCCTACATGTTCATTATTCAAATCATGCACTTTCTGCTGCTTCAACATTATCAGGATAGCATAGTTTTAGCTATAGAAGAAAATGTAATGGTTGTTTGTGTCCAGCACTCAATCACCACCATTTTAGCACTGTGGTCGGGAACAGTCGTTAGTTAATAAACCTAGGAATTTCATTTCTGGGCAGTAGTTTTGGTGCTTCTCAGTCTGCACTCAGTTTTGGAAAGTGTATTGCTATAGTTATATTAATAGACATTATTATAGATGTTTTACAGATAAATGTTATATCAATATTACCTATTTAAGTTATATAGGTAATATTTTTATAAAATAAATATGCAACAAGTAAACATGTACATAATATAATGAGATGTCTTTTGTATATTCTCACACAGAAGAAAGAAACTTCAAAGTCCAGTGTCAAGAAAAAGGTGACCAAGGTCGCAGAAGCAAAAAAAGTAATGAAGAGAAACTTTAAAGTAAACAAGAAAATAACCTTTACTGATGAAGGGGAGGTAAGATTATGTACATACTTCATTTCTTAGATTCAGTTAAGTAACAAAGACTTTGATTTTCCTTCTGACTTAACCATTGATTGATAAGAAAAAGAAGTTTCTCTGAAGCACACTAGGCAACTCCTTTCACCATGATACAGGCATCTCACCTACTGTATGTTGCACTGATAGTAAATTATGATAGTTGATAACAACATGAAGTTGATTTTGAATCTTAAATTCGGTTTTTATAATAAGATGTTCTTGTCAGGGTTTCCATCAGTGTGTTCCATGGAACAAGCACAAATGTAACAGCTGCTGGCCACAGCTGCTTTTGCTTGACTCTAAAAGGTGTCTACATTTTGGTTCTTAAATTGAGCCCTGCAATCTAAGGAATTCTCTGCTTGAAACTAATGTGAGGTTAGTTGCTTGGTATTTATCTCCTCATAATTTGGTCTTGTTATAAATACATAGCCATCAAGTAGGGAACAGGTTACCACTCATGGATTATTCATGGAAGGCCACTCTTTTACATAGGGCTATCTCCCTTTGTTAAAGAGGAAAGTGCTCTAGAATGTTAAGTGTTTGTCCTAAGGAGTAATGGCTACTCAGTGATCATAGCAGGGGTGCTGAATATTGTGTCTGAGTGACCCTGTTAACCTAACACAGGGCCCCGCACTCCACACCCTATAACCTCGTCTCCTGCCCTGTCTTCTTTCATCTCTTCATAACATTTATTACATGGCTTAGTAGTATAGATTTATTTGGTTATTGTCCATTTCTCCCACTCCAGTGAAATGAGGATAGCTCTGTCAGGAAGGATTTTGTATATTTCTTGGCTTTACTCACTACTTTGTTTCTAGCTCTTAGAACAATATTGCTATACCCAAACATAGTTTTACCAACTGTCTGCTATAGTAATTTAATAGTTTCTTATACCTTCTATGTTATATCACATCAGATATTTCACCATCAGTACAAATGCTATATCCAGTGGAGTATGTTCCTTTTTAATTTTGAAGTTCACAAAGATTTTGGTTGTTACTCTGTGGAAGGGCTTCTGAAGCCCAGATTTGCACTAGTAAATGGTTTAAAATGATATATAAATTATGAACAGTAACAGAATAGAGTGCAATTCAAACCTGTTGTTGGAAATTGCAGTATAAGCCTATATAATTGATAAATAATGAATCTTTGTGCAATTATTGAAAAGAGATCCACACCTTAGAAGCAGGCAGAACTGTAATAGAGTTGTATTACATTGGTTGCTCACTGTCAAATAAGATTAGTGCTGTTAGCGTAATGAGGTTCCTTACTGTGCTACTAAGTTTAACTGCACAGATTATACCAATTAGCTTCAAGAAGAGTATAAATCCTTAATATAAAATATCTTAGTGTGCACTTAACACTGATATGAGCTCTGTGTGGCAGCGAGCCATACTGCTCCTTATGATGGAATACTGAGAGGAACGCCACTATTCAGGCCTCAGAGTCAGAGCCAAGGGTGGCGTGCTTGCTGTCACAGTCGATCCTTTTCTCAGGTGCCCCGGCTGCTCGTACAGCAGTGTTTAAAAGTGCAGACTTTGTAGAATCACATCTTGAAAAATGGCTGTGGCAGAGACAAGAGTGAGAGGAGTGTTGATGCCTGTGATGTGTGTGCCTACCACATCCTTTGTCTACAGCTTCATTAGTGGTCTTCTCTCCTCCTGGCAACCAGTTATTAGATAAAGTAAGAGTTGTTTTTGTCTAGATTGTCTAGAGTTTTATAGCATTAAGCCAGGAAAATTATTGAGTCACATCTTTTTATTTTGGTGAAAGGGTACAGGTAGCTGGAGAAGAAGTAATTTGCTCAGGATTAGACAATGAAGAAGCCAGGATACCCTGACTCCCACATAGTGTGTCTTCTGGGTCACCTTGTTTCCAGCCACCAACTGTGCATGAAAATGAGTAGTTGGGCAGACCCAGCAAATCCTTTACACTTACTAATTTCTGTCTTCATGTGTAGTATTCGCTGATAACATGTTTCATCAGTTTTGCACCTAACACATGCTAGGTTTTGAGGTTACATGGGCAAAGTACAGTGTGATGACCTTCAAGGAAATTAATTCTAACAAACAGGAGTTTGTTAGTGCTGGAGGTCTCACACTAGCTTCCATGTCTATGGTGGACTGGTACGAACTGAGTTGGCACTCATGAGCAAGTAGGAATGCTGTAGGTAGACAGATGTTGCAGATACCCCTTCTCCAGCCTTGCTCTTGTTGGGGTAAGGCAGCAATACTTCCTGATTAGGACAGTGTTTTCTGTGACTTGTTCACTGAAATTATAACACTTGTTAGAAAGTGAAAGAAAGATGGGTTGTGAGGCCAAAAGTTGTCTGTGCACCACTGAAAATCATTATACAAAGAAAAACAGTTTTCTGGTGCTCCATCTCCTGCCCCACATTTACCTTCTCCTGTCTGCAGTTAGTTCAGCAGTGGCCGCAGATGCAGAAATCCGTCTCCAACGATCCTGAGGAAGAGGACAGCACTGGTGGTATCAACTTAGATAAAGCGAAAGAAAGGCTTCAAGAAGAGGACAAATTTGACAAAGAAGAATATAGGAAGAAAATTAAGGCAAAGCATCGGGTAAGCTTTCCATCTTGTATTAATGCTGATTGAAATTTAATATGTTCCTAAATATATCTGAATATACACTAGATATTCATTAATAATGTGTTATTTTCTTTATTGCTTTCTCTTAATACATTTTCTGTGACTGGTTGGTTGGTCTTATCTACTTGTTCTTTCTTCTGCTGGTATAATCTGTTGTGTACCTTCTGGTTTCTAAGAATGTTAACCTAATTTACTTTTAGTGGAGATGACCCAAATGATAGAGTTTTTTAAATTAAATTTTTTTAATCAAAAATTAAAGTCCTTATTTTGAAATAATTGTAATTGTACATGTAGTTATAAGAAGCAATAGATAGGAAACCCATATATCCCATTTCTAGAATGTTTTATATAAATGAAACTATTAAGTGTTTTAGGATTTGGCTGTTATGCACGTAGCATAATTCTGTGTGGATCATCCAAGTTGTAGCGTTTGTCTGTTATTGGATAATACTTCATGGTTTGAATACAATCACAATTTATTTCACCTTTCAACTATTTGAGTGACATTAAGAGTCACTGAACCCATTGAAATGGAGTACTCCATTCTGGTCACTGATGACCAGAATGCTTAATTTCCACAAAAGAAGACATTTCACTAGGTAAGAATAAGACAAAATTGCATCTTTAAAGAAGTTTCTACAGCATGTCCTTGAGACAGTGAATAATGTCAGATTAACAATAAATAACATCACCAATTCTAGATCACTAGTATACTAAATTTTGTATTATAATACCTTTTAAGTCTTTGAATGTGGATATTATGAATTGTGCTGAGGATTCTTGTGTTTTGACCTCTGTTGACCTTGTCACTATTTAAAGGACCAATAATTTTAGTAGAGCCTCAGCTGTCATTTCTTTAACAGTTGATGCAGCTTTCTGGTAGCATTTGATGGAAGAAAAAAAGTAGATGTTGAAGATACCTCAGAATTGGAAATGAATATTGGGAAAAACATTCCAGAAAAAGAGAAAACCATTGACCCTTAAGTGTTCTGGTTGCAGTTGTTGAACATTTGTTACCGAGAGAACTAAAAATTTCCTGCTCTGTTATTTCTTGTTACTACAGTGCTTTGAATTAAAATTTGGCATCAGTAATTTGTTACTAAAAATTGTTAATAACTTAAACATGTCAGCAGAATATCATTTTATTTTCAGCCCAGTTAGAATATTCACCTAGGGAAAGATTGAACCTAAGAGCATTTTATCCTTTCATTTTAAATTTGTAGCCAGCAGTAAAAGAAATAGGAAGAATTTACAAAAATATGAAAACTTTTCCATTTGCTACCTTCCCCTCTGTGTAGCAGTTGCTACTTTATCCAAATTGTAGAATATTGTTTCTGAAATATGTAGACTCTTAACTTCAAATTACTCATTGTGTATTTATTATACACTGTGTGTTAATTTCTGTCATAGGGTATAAAGCGAGGATATTTAAAATATGTCATTTCCTCTGACCTCAGGAAAATTAAATTGAATCAGTTAACTATGAATTTAGTTAACTGCATGACTTTTTGTGACTTTGTTTTTTCCACATTAAACTCTAGAAATGAGTCATCATCCAAAAATCAAGCTGATAAAACATTGTGAAGTCTTGCTTCTGCCAAAACCTTTTATTCTTTTTTTTTAAAGATTTATTTATTTATGCATACAAAATTGGGGTATAGGCCAGACGTACAGGGGCAGTGAGAGGATTCACCAGAGACAGTGTGGGGAGCAGAACAGGCAGATTGAAGAAGTCCACTGCTGAGAGGAGCAGTGGACAGGTCAGGAGAGGTCTGCCACGCCATGTGGTTCACCTCTAGGCAGGGTATCGAATTCATGCTGAAGCGGCTTTAGCTTCTTAGTGCTGTGCTTTAACCGACTGCACCACCAGGGAGGGCCCCTTTTACTCTTTTTTAAAACTCCATCCCTTATAGGTAACTGTCCTATATGTCAGTTACAATTTTGTAACTTCTGTGGAAGTATGCCCCTTAAGAATACTTGAAATATTAACTTTGGAGTTTCAAAATAAGCTTTAGTTGATGAAGATAGAAAAAACTGAAGAAACTTTTAATAATGATCTTATCAATGAGGGATGTGCCTGAAAGATCTTTTCATGTAAAAAGAAAACTATAAAATCTGTAACATTATGTTTTTGACATCCTTTATATTTTTAATAATGAGTCAGATTTTAGAAGCTTTCATAAGCATGGAAATGTTCTTTTGGCATATTCAGTGTAATTCATGATTATAGTTTAAATGGATAAGTGAAATATACAGAATAAAAATGATAACTATATCCTTAAAGGTTTTGTTTGAGTGAGTATAAGGGATCGGGGGGAAAAATATATATATATATATATATGTGTGTGTGTGTGTGTGTATGTGTGTGTTTTTATATATATATATATATGATTGTAATAAAGCAATATATATACATATAATTGTAATAAAGTGATTGTAATAAAGTAAAAAATGAACATCAGCTAACAACTATAATTCAGAGAAATCCTGTGGGGAAGGAAAGAGGAACAGGATCAAAACTGGGGGCCCTCCCTGTTGGTGGAGCAGGTTAAAGCACAGCACTAAGAAGCTAAAGCCACTTCAGCATGAGTTTGATCCCTGCCCCGGAGGTTACCCACATGGCGAGGCAGACCTCTCCTAACCTGCCTGCTGCTCCCCTCAGCTGTACATTTCATTAGTTGACCTGCTCCCCACTCTGTCTCTGGTGAATCCTCTCACCGCCCCTGTGCCTCTGGCCTGTACCCCAGTTCTGTATTCATAAATAAATAAATCTTAAAAAAAAAACAAAACTGGGGTAGGAAGAGCACATGGGACCTTGGTGATGGCACATGGGTGAAGTGGGGATGGGAAGCCCATGGGATTACAGCTGAGATGAAAAAAATGTACAAAATGAAGAAATGTAAAATGTGTATGTGTGTGTGTGTGTGTATAGAAGAAAAAGTTTCATTTGAAAGTGGTCATCTACCCCCGCTGTTAAAATGAGTGAGTGACCTCATACACCACAAATTTGCATATGTCCCAGTCAGACATAGGGGACTCTTCTAGTCATCTCCTCCCTACTTTCCTTGACATTTAATTTTCATCTACCACATTCTGAAAGTTGTGTCATGTCTATGACTCCAGTAATATCCTTGTGTCCTAAAGACTTAGAAACTTAACTACAAGTATTTTAACTAGTTTATGAGGGGGTGGGAAGGCTGTACAGTTGATGGCATCAGTGGGAATAAAATCTAGCTGCCTGCTTGCTGGTCCTCAACAGCTCACCCCCTTCAGGAGCCCTGGCATAACTGTTTTGGGTCACTCAGCAGTTTTCTTTTTGTGAATCTTCATTGGTTGGCATCATTTTCTTCTGATGTCATTCTGGTTTCCAACCTTCCTTGGCAATTTATAAGTAATGGTACTTAAGTATTCCTGTTACTGTTTCATTTGCTGAACCTCTTGAACCATTCATCAGAAGTAAAATTACAGCTAAAGCTATCATTTTTGCATATAAAGCGATTAGTAAATTGTAAAGGCAAAAGCACTAATTCATAGGGAAACAATGTAATTTCCCATAATTCAATCAGAGCTATGACAGATGGGCTATGGATCACATCACTGAACAGTTTTTACTTTAATCAGTGAAAAATTGCAATGTGGTGTGTCATCATTCTTAACACTGAAAGATTACTTGTATTTAGGGTGATAATATCTGCTGTAACAGCTGAGTGTGGAGGGAAGCAGTTCATTGTGAAGTTCTCTTTGATTCCTTTGAAATGTGCTAGGATAGCTTTTTCCATTTTGGCTTGTGTTAGTCGATAGTATGGCTGTATGGTGATGTGGCTCTGGATAGCTTGTCAAATGACACAGCATTGCTCTGGGTTCCACATGCTACTAGCATGAACACTAGAAATTAGGAAGGGGCTTCTTAGAAAATCTTTTTTGTTGTTTAAACAGAATTGAGTTAGTATCTTAAACTTAAAATTTTATGATAGACAAGAAGGAGGGAAGCCATACCCAGGCATTTAGGAATACTAGTAAGAATGTTAATACTGTGCCGCACTTAGTTAACTCTGCACTAAGTGATTTTTCTGGACTACTCTTTTGTATGTTAAAAACTAACTTCTGAAGTCAGTGAGCCAGCCTCATTTAACAAATGATGAAAAGGAAACTTAAATAGGTGAAATAACTTGTCAAGGACCCACAGCTTACAGAAGCAACTATGGTGCTTTCACCAAGGTCTTTATTTCTCTGCAGACTTTATTTCGAACAATTCTGCTGTGTTGCTGCCTCTCAAACCAGCAGGCACTCTTTTACAGTAGGGACTTCTGAAGCAGTGAATAAAAGGTTATAGGAATGGGTGACTTTTGAAGGAAGAATATGACAGGTAATGGAGTGTTTTGGTTTTTTTTTTTTTTATAGACCAACTTAACTCATCTCAAATAAATTTAGGAATAGCATAAATACTGTCATTAGTATTTTGGGCCACAAATTAAGATAATAACCTTTCCCCAGATGTTCACTGTCTAGCTGTGTAGTTGTACCAAATCCAGTTTACAGTAATGGTGGACATGGAAGAATCAAAGGCAGTGTCAGAGGCTGATCTAAGCTAATATCAAAGTGAAAACAAGGAATAGAGCATCTGGTGCTTAATTCTAAAACGGACTTTATGAAGAAAGCTTATTTACACCAGAGGGAAAACAGTGCTCTTCCCATGTAGTCCTGTCTCCTGCCAGTGTCGGTCTTTCCTGTCACCATCACAGCAGGTTTATTAGGAAAAGGACTGGCCTTTAGTGTGAACCTTCATCTGTAATTTGGGAGATTTCTATTCTTACTGAGTTTATAGTCTCTTCAATGCTGGGTTCTGCATCTTGCAACTTGCACTCTTCATCTCCAACACCTAATATGAGACAAATATTCAGAATGGCACAGGTTTTAATCAGCTGTGTGGAAATCTCTGCACTGTTCACTATCTCTGTTTTTGTAAAGTTCTTTGTTTTATTAGAGCTGTAGTGAATAGTAGCTGATTGGGGTTGAGAAGCAGAGGCAGAGTTGAGAGCTTGGGGTTGACTAGCTTGTGTCCTAGACTGCAGAGACCATGGAAGCCTGACTGCACCTGCATTCCCTGCTCCCACAGCCCTCATGGAGCTGGCACATTATAGCTCAGTAAATATTTGAGGGAATTAGGAATTAGTTTCCATGTGAGTTGTCCTGCCTGCCCTCACATCCTTGCTATGCTTGTTAGAAAGTTCTGTGTGAAAGATTTTCATATGTCATTTAGGCAAAACTGCAGAATATAAAGAACCTTATATGTGCTCTGAGTTCCTAGGGGATACAGATATTTACTGGGATTTTGTCTTGGAGAATACGTGCATTGTCTTGAAATTTAGAAATCCAGACAGCCATTCTTTTATTCACTTTTTGGAATCAGTTTTCTTTGAAAAAGAGGTAGCTGTCCTCTCTCTGTGATGGCTGAAACCCGATTCCTTGCCTTCAGATGTTATGTTTCTAACATCTCATAAAACTTATGAGCTGCATTTCCAACTCTACAGATTTCAAGATGACATCGAATGGGAATGGTTTGGGTGTGTATGTAGTCCTGACTGCTGGTGAAATTTATATTTCATGGCATTTTTTTTTCCTAAAGCTAAAGACCTATCATGTGTGAAGCAAAAGAAATATAATACCATTGAGTATTTAAAAGGGAGTATTTTGTACCTTGAAATGTGATTTTTGTTTCCTATCCCTTGTGAACTTGATTTTTATTAGTGAATTTCATTCTTAATCATTTGTAGCATAGCAGAACTAAAGATAAAATTTTGTCTTTTTGTGTGACACTAAATAGCTTTTGTTATCAATCATCAAAAATACAGCAGGAAAATAAATAAGATTTAAGACATTAGAACCACATAAAAAAGGGGGGGGGCAAGTACTAAGTCTAATAAAATTTAGTTGTTTTCTTCCCTAAAATCATTGCACTCAATCTTGTATCATTATTTTGTCATTTGTAGTGTCTGTAATTAATACTCTTCACATGTCCATCTCCCCAATTTTTTGATTAGCTTATTCCTACTTGTTCTCTGTTTAGAAATTAATGCTTACTCTTACCTCTTTCACATAGACACTAACATAGCTTTTTAAGGTAAGGAATAATAAGTTTTCCTTTTGTTTCACCCAGTATTAAAAGTTCATTCTTTTTGCTGTACTTTTGTTTCTTGTCCTGGTCATTTTCACTTCATATTTTAAAGGATTTGGTTATCCATTATCCACCTGAGACTTTGGGCAGAAATCTTCAAAGAAAAAATTATTCCATTTGCATGCACATGTGAATTCTGGAAGCCAATACAAGCCTGAAATGTAAAATAGTCTTCCTTGAGTATAATGAATTAATACTAGAATTCAGTAATGCTGTAAAGTTGCAATACATGTATACTTGCGCACACAAACACTTGTTGTAATTAAAATGCTTAACCGAGAAACCCCAGAATGGAGATTGTTTTTTGTTTTTTTTGTGGATTAAGAGCTTTTCTGAAGTGAGCATATCAAGGTTATTCTTTGGAGCTTTGAAGTGCCATTTTCAGGTACTCTAATGTGTTGGGAGAAGGCCAGTTACTGAATAATTACAGCAAACATTTGTGTGACTGTTAAGTGTGTTTAATTATGTTTTTATCCTGCACAGGAAACTGCAAAAATTGATGAAGTAGTGTCCAAAAAAATACTATAAGACAAAAAAACCTAAGCTTATTGGGATGAAAGGCCCATACAGCAATAGACTATTGTTATTATAAGGAAATATTGGTCTACAGCATTTGATCCAATGAAAACATGTTTGAATTTACAAAGTGAGAAAATGTTCTAATGCAGGAGAGAGGGCTGTGGCATGTGTTGGAGAGAGGGCTGGAGGGGAATGCCAGCCCCACAGACTCAGTTTTAGTCATAGGTCTGTCACTAATTCTTGTGTTACATCAGCCTCAAGTACTAAGTCATGTTGCTTACCAATGTTTTCACTTCTAAAATGGGAATGACAATACCTCGTAATTTTTTGTATATAGCTTTAAAACTATATAGAAATTATGCTACTTAATTCAGAGCTGTTTCTTTTGCTAAGACAATAATAATAGTAATGAGAATACTGGACAGATACTGTTTGAAAAAGCACAATTTTAATGCTCTCTAGTTATTTGATGTTTTATATAACTGTAGTTTTAAATTAGCTTAAGGAGCACTTGAAAAACATTTTTGTAGGATAAGATAAAATGCTGATTTTACTTTTCCAAGACATAAAGGTTTTTTATTTTTGTAGAAAATAGAACTAAATTATGTGTATATGAGAGAAGAGACAAAATAAGAAATACATGATTCCATAAACTAAAACCCACACCCAAACTAAACTAAGCATAATTATGATGGTTTTGTAAAAAAAAATTTTCTTCACTATTTTCCTACTTTGAAAATAGTCCATTCATTATACAGTCTACTACTACTTTTAGGAAATCAGTAATTGGTACCAGCTTCTATGAAAACTCAATGCAAATGTTCAGAAATTGTGTCCCTCCTACAACTTAAGAAAACTTTACGGTTATTTGTTTTTAATGACAGAATCATTCTGAAAATCTGACTAGACAAACAATTTGATGATGATTGTCTTATCAGTTGACTGCTTGTTAAAATAGTACAAGGTGTTCTTCATTGTTAAAAGTCACATCCATAAGGTCTCAAACTTGACATTTTAATTTTAAATTGTATTGGAGGAAAGCTGTAGGTGGGGTGAATGGAGATACAAATTTGAGATCAGTCTCTGTCACTAAACTTTTTGACAGTGAGTCAAAACTTTTAAATTTTTGTTTCTAAATGGATCCTTTTCCTCTGACCTTGGTCCTGAAACTTCCAAGTAATTTGAGTTTAGAAAACAATTTAATAAAGTAACTTGTTTATGAAAATAAACTTGCATTATTTTTGTTGATACAATATTGTCACTTTCCTATGGACTCAAGGGTTAGTACTTCATATACTTTTATAATTTTTATAAAATTATAATTATACTTTTATAATTATATAATCATACTATTATAATTTCATATAATTTTATAAATTCTGCTTTTAGACAGAAAAGGGAAATAGTCATAACTGCGTTTTTTTCTTTATTCTGATAGCCAACATGGATTATGTACTATTCATACTGACATTGTCCTAAACAGTTATGGATTTTCAAGCTATAAGTTTGAAAATGTTCAAACTGTGTTATTATACCAACTTTATGAGATACTTGCTTACTTTCACCAAGTTTAGATGAGAAATTGAGAGTGAATATAAATAACTAGCCCAAAATTACGATGCTAATAGGTAGAACTCAGATGAGATTCTGTATCTGTTTGATGAATACTTACTGAGAATACTTGTCCTGAGTAAGCATTTGTTGAATAATGAGTGTCACATATCAGTTGGCTTAAAGGAATATTTGTGAATGTGTTATCAACCTAATAAAAATTTTTATGTCGCTAATTTTCTCTGTTTCTCTAGGAGAAAAGATTGAAAGAAAGGGAAGCCAGAAGAGAAGCCAACAAGAGATCAGCAAAGGTAAGGGCTTATATTTTAATGAGACAAATGTAACTTTAAATGTAATTTAAATACTGTACTATTCCATGTGTTTATTTTTATATCATAGCATTCAGCTATAAATCCATGCTTGCCTGCCATTTATAATTTCCTGAATTCATTTATTTCCTTTGTGATACAGGATAAATTTGCTTATTGGTCTTTGTATTAGTACCCTACCAACTCTTTCCATTATGTTTTGATACACACAACTTCAATAGTATAGGATATGGCTGACTGTGGGCCAGGTCTGATCATATTTTAAGCTATATCACCTTTCAGTGGAAAAGCTGTATAATAATATCTAAAACCCTAGAATTTAAGGAAAAGGACTCTATCTTTCACCTTCCCTACATTCTTAAGGAAAAAAAATTGCAGCAAGTACATACGGTACAGCTTCCCCACATATGTATGTGCAATTGTAAACATCATTCATGTGCAGCAATAATTTTTATCTTCTGTGTTTGATACCGTAAAAGGCTCAAGGTCTGTATTCTGAGGACATTTAGTAGAAATGATTTTCTAGAGCCAAGCCCCAGTAGTGTCCATCATTTCTCATGCTGTATCTCATTGTGTTCTGCCTGACTAGCCGTGAGTTTTTTTCTGGCAGTTAGCAAAAAGATCTGACTCCCTTGAGTAAGCCCATAATGTTCCTTGTCATTTTTCTATGCTGGCTATAGCACTTAGAAAGTAAGTCAGAGATGATAACTCATGCCATAGTTCTCAAGTGGGGAGCAATTACTCTGCAGTTGAAGATGAAAAGACTGCTTATATCAAGTATTAAATCTCACTCTGTCTTAAAAGTTGCCTGAAAATGAGGGTGGCTGTTCATGCAGCCTGACTGCTAAGTTGGGGTGGATTCTGCATGTGTTTTCAGAGTTCAGACATGAACTATCATGGCATAGAAATGAGAACTTAGTGTCTGTATTGGGGAAAAAATGTAAATTTTAGGGAAAAATCTTCAATTTAATGACAGCATTTGATATTTATGAATATTACATGTTCAGCATAGAAACAAACCTTTTTTATTTTACCAAGAAGTGCTTATTTCTTCATATAAAAATTGGAAAAATGAAGCCTGGAGCTGAAAGTAAGCTTTGTTACTGTTTCCTTTGTGTGTCTTCATGCATGTTTGTCTATGTTACTAAATTTGTATTTTTTTAAGATTTGTTCATACAAGAACCAGGTGCAGACCAGTGGTGCAGGGGGTAGGTGAGAGGATTCACCAGAGACAGAGTAGAGAGCAGAACAGGCAGATCCACTGAAACACACGGCTGAGGGGAGCAGGAGTGAGTGAGACAGGAGAGGTCTGCTGTGCCCTGTGGGTCCCTCCCTGCCCGGAATGGAACTCGTGCTGCAGTGACTGCGGATAGCTTCACGGTGCTGTGCTTTAACCCATTGTGCCACCAGGGAATCCCCTAAATTTGTTTTTTACCTGCTAATACTTTATGCATTGTGGTTTGAGTGGTAAGAAGAGACTATCACTGTTGAGCCTGCCTTTTATTTTTCTCTAAGTTGGTGTATGTATTAGTTTTGATTACTGTGCCAGGTGGGGAATAAATAAACATTAAAGCCAACAGAATTAGATTCTCTCTTGGGGTAGCTCTCTAAAGGTAATTCCTCTAGCTCAGGCCATTTCCCCCCACCACAGCTACCTGCGTTTACCCTGTGTGTTGTTTTCTGACTCCCAGGAGAGGGAAAGGCTCTTACCTATCAAAAGAACGCCTCATTTCTGTGTGAGTGTGGAGGGACTATACAGGGAAGCAGAGGAGTAGCCAACATGACTTTGCTGTTCAGCCAGGAGCTGATTTCCATGGATAGAGGCTGTGTTCTAGCCTTCTTGTGAGGAGCTGTGTTGCCTCCATTTCAGAGCCTTCTTTGGCGCGCAGGTTTACAGCCCTCTTGTACGAGTGACGGCAGCAGAGGGATGGGTGTACAGTTTGTAGCCAGAACACAAACATTCCTCAAGACACAAAGGAATGGCATCCATGACAAAGTCAGGCTGATTGACGGAGCCCAAGGAATTGGTTTGGACCAACCTTTTTGCACCTGTCACCTTTCAAATGAAAGTGACAGAGCCCTTGTGGCTCCTCAGGTGCTTTGTTAACAGACTCAAGATAATAGTTGGAGGGCCTGGGTAAGAGAGAGATGCTGGCCAAAGCTCATGTAAATGGTCGTTTTCTTATGGTCTGTGTGCTTCTAGTAATGGCTGTCTGCAGTTTACAGTCAACTTTATTCCTGCTTTGCTATTCAAAGTTCATCAGTGCTGCTGCTTTTAGTCAGCTTCAGTTGAGATGATCTCTTCAGTCACTAAATCTATAGGATCCCAACCAGATATGTCAGTGGCAAAAAATGGGGTATTTGCAGACTTAATTATACGAGGAAGTACTGTCTTAACTCATCTTTATTTATCTATTTTAAGAAATTAATGTATAGGAACTGAAAATGTGAGAAGAGGAGACTCACATAACTTTGTTCTGGCCTGGTTTTCTGCTTCTTTCAGCAAACATGTTATTGCATGAGGAGGAATATAGAGGATAGAAAATATCTTTAAGAAATTGGAAAAGCTATTTGAATATACTCAGTGGAATTATTTTTATTTCCCAGAAAAGAGAAAACTTAAGGATAATGAAGCTTTCAGTTCTGTAAATGATAGTTTATGGTTATCTGGCCCCTGACATAATGAAAGTATTACTAAGAAAAACTGTTTTAAAGTATGGATAGGACAAGTTAAAGCTGGAATAGACTTTTGGAATCTGGTACAACTTTCTGCTACAAAGTAGATAGATCTAAGAGCCGCCTAGAATATGATATGTATAATGTCAGGAGAGAAATGTGAAATTGAAACTTCGTGAAGTTGAAACTTCGTGGTGTTTTGGGTATCCAGTGCTCAGTGATTTGGCAGATAGAGGTCTTTGGGTCTGAAAACTTTCCTTAACAGAGAAATATTTGAACTGTGCAGTGGACTTACTTTTACTTTCGCTAACAGGATATTCTGTGTTCTCATAACTGCAAAATTTTGAACAAGACCTGAAAAAGTTGTAGCAGTGATCAATTGAGCACATTGCTTTCTGGGCTCAGGGAGGTCACATAAACCTGGAAGTACAGCTTCACCTTATTATCCAATTCCATTTCCTCCCTGTTACTTGAGACACAGGTGCAGACACCAACCTCTGGTGCCTAGGAGAGTTTTGCAAAGCCACTAAGAGAAGAAACAGCCGTGCTGAAACTTGAGGACACAAAGCTCCAGCTTTTCTGCTTCAGAAAAGAAAATAAAATTTTTTAGACAGAAGTCCAAGATTGGTAAAATTGAACTCTGAGTATGGAGGAGCAAACAGCTCAGCAGCATGTAAACACTGCAAAGTTAAACCTTGCTTTGAATATGTTACAGATGATAACTACATTTGTTATTTTCTAGGCTTGGGTAAAATCATATGAAAGTAATTAAAATGAGGTTATACATACTGAATTTGAAGTTCTGTAGTCATAGTACACTTTACCTTTTCTCTTTTAGGGTTTTACTGCTTTTTACTTTAGCGACTTTGATACATATTATTTGTGCACTTAACAAATAGTAGTCTCAGGAAGTAGAATTTTTGATATATGATGTGGTTTCAGTTATTTCGTCCAGGATGGATGATCCAAAGAATTAAAAGCTGTATGACTTTAGAACATGAACACACATAAGATTTGGTTTGGAATCTACTGGTCTAGAATGTCTTTTTCCCTGGTCAAGGGCATTTGGAGGATCAGTTTATTTTAAACCGAATAGCTTTTTTTTTTTTTTTTTGATTTATTTATGCATACAAGAACTGGGATGTAGACCAGAGATGCAGGTGGTGAGAGGATTCACCAGAGACAGAGTGGGGAGCAGAACAGATAGATCTACTGAAATATACTACTTAGGGTAGCAGTGGGCGAGACAGGCAAGGTTTGCCACACCATGTAGAGCAGCTCCCTGGCCAGGGGTTGAACTCAGGCTGCAGTAGCTGGTGACAGCTTGATAGCACTTAGATTTTAATCCCTGAGCCACAGATAGGCCCTAAACCCAGTAGTTTTTGATAAAATTCAAAACAAGCTACTTAATTATCATTGTTCCCCCCCCCCCTTATTTGGTTCCTCTACATTCCTCCTGTAAGTGAGACCATTCTATATTTTCCTTTTCCTTTTTGACTTACAAATCATAAACAACTATAGATCAGAGACATTGTCTGGGGCAGGAGGAAGATAGTGAAGGGCCCGGACAGGAGTGGGAAGAACATAAGCGACTATGGTAATGATGCATGGGTGAATTGCTTGTGAGAATTTCATTGGGAAACCATACATTGTACAAAAATGATGATGTAATAAATATATTTTTGAAAATAAAACAAACTAGTGGGAAAGCCCAGTTTGCTTAAAGCAATGCTAACTTTATTCTTTTTTTGGTGTTTGAATATTGTTCCATTAATGTAATATTAATGGTGATTTGAAATATCATCTGTTTTGGACAAAGTAAATCCCCATGTTAGTCCTCCGGAACAATTTATGAACTTTTTCTGATGCATGAAATTTAAAGGTATAATCAATACTCATGTACTCCAGCAACTTTGAGTAGTACATTGAGTAGCCTGATGATCTGCAGAGGTTCTTGGCTTACCCCAAAAGAGGGGTCTTGGGCAAGAGCTCTAAGCATGGATTGGACCAACCTTTTTTTTTTTTTTTTTTTTAAGATTTATTTACTTATGCATACAGAACTGGGGTATAGACAAGAGGTGCAGGGGCGGCGAGAGGCTTCACCAGAGAGTGGGGAGCAGAACAGGCAGATCGATGAAGCACACCACTGAGGGGAGCAGCGGAGGGGGCAAGGAGAGGTCTGCCGCGCCATGTGGATCTCCTCCGGGGCAGGCGGGAATCGAACTCATGCGGAAGTGGCTTTAGCTTCTCAGTGCTGTGCTCTAACCCGCTGCGCCACCAGGGAGGGCTGGACCAACCTTTTTTTT